TAACTCCGGGCTGGCTGGCACCGAGGGGCATTGGGGGAGACCGTCGCTGTGCCTCCTCACCTTCCAGCAATACCTTTTTATATTGAAAATCCGTGAGTGCTGGCCTTTGATGTGCGAACTGCCTTCCAGGGATATGTTTGGGTTCATCGCCGTTTTGTTTCTTCTGTTTGCTTTTTTTTTCTTTTTCATATCTATATGTTTTGTTGTTATATTTGAAAATCTCATTTCTAGCGCCTTGTCTCGTTTTCAGTGTTGGTTGGGTTTTTTTTGTTGTTTGTATTGACCTTATTTATCAGCTCTTCACTGGTCAATAGGTGCAAGCCAAACTAACTTCGGTTTTGTTTGTTCGGTCTTTTGAATGTTTCTGGCTCCTTAAAAATGATTGATCGAAACCTTCAGGATGACCTTAAAAAGTCAAAACTATAATTTCCTTTCCTCCCTGCCTTAATTTATCCTCTCTCTCTCTCTTTCCCAGGTATAGCTCGCTAGTATGAGTGACACAAAAGAAGTTAAAATGCAGATAACACCAGAAACTCCAGGCCGAGTCACAATCCTGAATCCGTTTGAAAGTCCCAATGATTACTACACTCTTCAGGAGCAGATTGTCTCTAGTCCTTCAGTCTTTAAAGCAACAAAATCTTCATCTGTAAGATCTAGTCTTCAGTTGTGTAACTATACAGATGTAGCATTAATATTATGAAATGCATTAAAAAGTGTATTCTATTTATTGTACTTTAATGTATATATGAAGCCAAATAATTTTGTTCTTCAGATTACAGGAGAATGCTGCTTTTAGTACTAACATTGTCACTTTTTTTAGATATTGGGTGTATCCACTAGGTGCCAAAACCAGTTGGATGTGGTGTTCTTGCCTTACCTAAAGTGGAAAAAAACCCCAGTTCCTACTTACATGCTAAGCCGGCTGGATCCAAATAGAACTTAATTACACTTCTGTTATGAGCTATTTACATATTCACAGAATCAAGTTAATTATTTTGTGCATATATAACATTTTTTAGTTGCAAATTGCATTCGGGTTTGCAGTTGGAGTTACCTGGTAAGTAGAGATGATGCTTTGCTAATGAAACTAAAAAGACTCATTTGCTAGATCATTTTTCAAACACTTGAACTATGTTTTGTCATGAGTTGTTCAACAAAGGGGTGAAGCTGCTTTACATCTGAATTGAGTTTTGTTGTGAGCTCTGGGTGGAGTTAGGAGGGAGATTTTGTGGGATATGTATGGGGTTGCAACTCCTAAGTCCTGAAAATGTGAGGTTAAAGGAAGGCAGCTCTATTATTTGGATAACTTGCCTTAGATACAGAGAATGGATTTTCATGGAAATTCAATTTTGATTATGGCAATCGAGAAACAACTAAATTTTATCCCAAGTTCTGTATCTTAGTAGATCTGTCCTCAAAAACTGAGAAGAATTTGACACTTTGTAAATACTAACTGTAACCTTCCACTTTACTTTATCTTGTAAATCATTGTAATACTGCTACCCAGGATAAAGAAGCCTGAGAGGCTTTTTTTTTTTTCTTAAAGGACATCACTTAAATAGAAAGTTTTTTGATTGTCTTTGACAGGAACTACATGGAAGTTTTGATTGCATTGTTCCATTGAGATTTGTCCTGTGGTTTTGTTTTTATCTTTTTAGACTAGCAAGCACTAAGATGTCCCTTTCTTTTTTTAGACACCAGGAAAATTTAGATGGTCTATTGATCAGCTTGCTCTGATAAATCCTGTGGAAATTGACTCAGAAGATGTTCGACGCCAAGCAATGTATTTGAGTCATGCTAGGTAACTTACCATCTGGTTTTATGCAGTTAACTTAGCTTGAATACTGGAACACTGACATTTCAGCACGATTTTTTATCTAAATCTTTTAATGTAGATTTTTATGTGTCCTTCATGTGGGTATAATATTTAGATGAGACTGCCTCTGTGTTGCTCTTGTCTAATGTTAAGAACTGCTGGTCCACTCTGCAGTTTACAAGACAGACAGATCGAAGCAGTCAAGGGAAGCAAGAAAATGCCTCACCAGTGATTGTTACCAGTTGTTACTGTTGTAAGCCAGTACACTTTTTGAAAGGTGTAGGCTGGGCTTAATTTGAAGGAGGGAAGACCAGTAAGTTTGCTTTTCTGGAGAAGGAGGTTGCTAATTACTTGAAATAATCTTGACCTTGACCTTTTCCGTTCTCTGAAGATAACTTCCATGGGGAAAACAAATGTGTAAGTAAAACAGGCTTGGTATTCACAGCTCATCTGAAGGAATAGTCTCACACATGAATAAATAGAGAACAACATGCCAGGTGAAGGCAGTCAAGTGAAGACAGTCAAGCGAAGGCCACAGTGGTAGATTCTATAGACACAGTCATGCATTTCTGAGATATGGACTTGAACAAAGAATGGCATGAAGCACTGCTCTAACAGAATAAGAAAACAGTCCTCTATCTTGTTTATAGGACTTAAAAGTCCTGCTAGTGAAAGGAAACAGATAGAGGGTTGTTTAGGGCAGGAGTCCTCTGGAAATTCATAGAATTATAGAATGATTTGGATTGGAAAGGATCTTTAAAAATCATGTAGTCCAACCCCCTTGCAGTGAGCAGAGCCATCTTTAACAAGATCAGGTTGCGCAGAGCCCTGTCCAACCTGACCTTGAACATTTCCAGAGATGGAGCTTCTCCCAGCTCACTGGGCAACCTGTTCCAGAGTCTCGCCACACTCATTCTAAAAAATATTGGGAATTAAACCTGTTGTTCTTAGCATCTGAACCTACATTAATCTTTTTGAACAGGAAGAGGCGTAAGAAGGAATATAAATTTCTCTAGAGATGTAGAAAGAATATTTTCCCTCTACTCAGCCTTGGTGAGGCCTCACCTTGACTACTCTGTCCAGTTTTGGGCCCCTCACTACAAGAGGGACATTGAGGTGCTGGAGAGGGTACAGAGGTGGGCTACCAAGCTGGTAAAGGATTTGGAACTTATGTCCTATGAGGAACGGCTGAGGGAGAAGATATTGAGGGGAGACCTTATCGCTCCCTACAACTACTTGAAAGGAGGTTGTAGAGAGGCAGGGGTTGGTCTGTTCCTCCCTAGTGGAGAGTGATAGGATGAGGGGAAATGGATTTAAATTGCCCCAGGGGAGGTTCAGGTTGGATATTAGGAAGAATTTCTATTCTGAGAGGGTTGTCAGCCATTGGAACAGGCTGCCCAGGGAGGTGGTTGAGTCACCATCCCTGAAGATGCTTTAAGAGACAGTGGATGTTGTGTTGGGGGACGTGGTTTAGTGGTGTCGATAGGGCTAGGAACAGATTGGACTAGATCTTCAAGATCTCTTTCAGCCGTAACTGTTCTGTGATTTTAATGTAACTGTCCTCATCTGTATTTGTCAGTCACCATGTTTTAATGTTGATATTATTTTTCTTAACATCTGTTTGTTTCTTGGCCTTCTAGCAGCCAGTAGGCTTCAGACTCTAATGCTTTTCATACCTTATAAAGCCTTAAGCCTTATGTCCTTAGGGAGCTGAATACATTGTTTCTAGAAGCCTACTGGGACACACAGAGACTACTTTAAATTTAGCTGGCTTGGGTGACAATTCCCGTGATGATTAGTGGCATGGCCTATAGCTATAAACATACGTTGTCCTGGTGGGTCATTTCAGTCTGTCCCACTGTTTCATACCCACCGTGATTTCTTTTTATTTTTTTAAATCATCTGATAGAACTATAAAGAGGCTAGTTTGTGTAGATTTGTTGTGTCCACACTTTGATGTTTCGGTGTATTGCAGACTGAGGTGGTTATTACTGGTGGCTGCAAACTACATGGTTAAATGTGTATATTGTATATATGTGCTTGTGTGTAAGATTTTGTGTGGCAGCCAAAGTGTCATAAATACAGCTCTTGACATTGAAAGTTCCTGATAAGAGAACTGAGTTTTTGAAGCCCATGCACAATGTTAAACAAACTATATACTCCATTTTAATGCTTGCTAACAAGTAATTTTCTCAATTGGTTGCAAAGAAGCATAAGAAATCTAGTGTATAAATATTTCAAACTGTTAATTCTCCGTGATGTAGTGAAAACAGTTTGGGTAGCAGCACAGCATAAAAGCTCAGGGGCAGTTGGTGAAGTCTAAAATAAGTATCACGTGGAGACTTGATTTTGTGTGGTGTTGCTGTTTCTGTAAAGTAGGCCTCATCAGTTTTTGGGGCTCTTACTGCACTACTTGTAAAATGTTTAGGAGATTTTTTTTTCTGGGAGGCTATTAGTGAAAAACAGTTCACCAGTAACTGAGCAGACACAAACTTTCCTTTTTACTTCTACTGGTGGAAATGGAATGTTTCTAAATTGGGTGCTGTGCTTTTATATGTTAAGTGTAAAAAAGAATAAATAAAATCTGTACTGTATCTTGTATACTGTGTATCACAGTTGCAAGTGCTCTATTGCTTTGAGCTGCATACAAGACTGGCTTGGTTTTATTGTTGTTAAATACGTGTGGCATTTTCACTGGTCATTTTCCTGGAGTTACGTGCTTAAGAAAAAACATTCTCTTCTGTGGTAACCAGGACTTTGAGTGGGAGTTGTTTTCGCAGTTCACCTGTTTTTTCCTTTGGAATCTGGTTTGTAAAAATGCTTATTACTCGTGATCCGCTATGCATAAATTTCCAGTGATTGTATGCTTAATTTTGGTACAATAACTGAATTTTATGCGAGTGTTTTCATGGAATTGTCACTTAAGCATCATCTCTGCAGACGTAATTGACAGTGGCATGTCCAATGCAAATATGTACTTGTAAATGAATAGTATAGACTTTTTAAAATGAACTGAAGTAACTGAGAAGTGCATTTATATTTCTAAATTTACAGTATGAGATTATTGCACATAACAGTAAAAACCTTCTAAGATTTAGAGTTTAGTGCAATTTCACTTAAAATATTTTTCTTGAGCATCTGTAAAAGATTACATGGTTAGATTTTACTTTTTTTCCCAAACTATGAGTTTTGATTATTAAGTTGTTTTTCATTTGTAATTTAGAATTGATAAGGAGACGGAAGACAGAAGGCAAAAAGCCATTGAGGAGGTAAAAAAGCTTTCTATGCTATCAAGTATTGATTTGTTTTAGCTACATACCTACAAAAAAGATCCATGTCTATTACAGGTTTTCAAAACTCAGAAGTCTGTTATGTTTTACTGGTCAGTAAGAAAGTAATTTTATGTCCTCATTTCTTGTGCTTGTAGTTGGAATCCACATTGCCTTTTTACCCCCCCAATCTTTTTTCACACAACTGCAGGTCAAACCAGCAGATTTTGTTCTTTTATATTGGTTGGCTAATGGGAATGTAGTTGTAAGAGAACTCTAATAAATGGTTAATTTAAGGTTAAAAGTAATGATTGAATGTTACAGGGTTTACAGTAACCGTTAGTGCTGGGTGACTTGGTTTCTTTTATTGCATTTTTAAAAATACAGCAGAATCTTCATGACTTTATTTCTTTCAAAGTCTTCTTAGTTGAAGGCAAGACTTTTCTTCTGGTAGCATGTGATTACTTCTGTCCATTTTGAATTTTATTTTTTACTATCCATTTGTCTAGCAGATAAGTGTTTCAATTCTTCACTATAGAAATCTTCAATGTTATTTCAGTTTAATAAAATAGAATAAGGCTCTGATAGGCAAGCCTGCCTTAGTGTTCCTGACCTTTTAATATTGTATCAATCATGCTGTTATCACTTGCTTTCTCTATACAGAAAAAATGTTTTATGAATCCTGAAATGTACTACACAGTTGACCTGCAGCTAAGATACTCTATTGCTCTAAATCTGCATCAGAAAGGGTATTTCTTCTTTGCGAGGCATAAGTTAATGGATTATGCAGCTGAACTGCTTGAAACCCTGTCTCTGATAAAAAATTACGCTTTTTATGCTTGAGCGTTTCAAGCTGTGTGTTTTTTTTCATTTGCTTGGAGTCTTGCTTTTGTTGTGAGCACAGGATTTACCATGTATTTCTGGAAGCTGTGTAATAGTGTTTGTCTCAGCATCAGGGTGTTCTGCAGTGCAGCTGTGACAGCAGATAAAGTTTTTGGTTCACAATAAAAGACTGAAGTACCAATAGTCATGTATGTTTCACTGCTAAGCAGTTCAGCCAAATACTTGAATATTATTGCTAAATACTTCTTACTGTTACTGCAGTTTAACAAACAGAAGATTTGAAAAGAATAGTGTGAAACTGCTGTGCGATGAGTATGGTGGAGACAGTTCAAATTTTTAAATGAGAAAGTGTCAAATGAAAGTTTTGTATCATTTTCACTCTGCACACTTAATAGATCTGAGGTGGTGTGTGTCATAAAGAATGTAGAGGTCTTCAAGTCCATTTTTTTTCCCTTTAATCTCCTGGGCCTGAAATAATGAAATATATTTTGGGTATAAAGGACACCTATACAGATTTTGGGGAAGGAAGAGTTAAAATTCTTAAAATACAGATCTGTGAGTAGCAAAAGGTGTTCAGGGTACTGACTTAGACTAAGTTGAGAGTCTCTAATTTTTAAAAGTTCTAAGATGATTTGTTTCTATTCTTTTCTAGTTTTTCACAAAAAGACTCATAGTTCCTTCTCCTTGGACTGAACATGAAGGCAAGCAAGTTTCTCAGTTTAATTCAACTAGATGTAAGTTGCTTTTGTTTGTCCATTCAAAATTATCTAGCTTTTAGAGAAATTATCAGGCATAATTTTTTTTTCAACCTCAATTTGAAATTTAAGAACCAAGTGGCAGATTTCTAGCTGTTCTCTCCAAGTCCTTTATATGTTTAAAAATAATTTATTAATGCAGGATTTACATAATTACTACTTTTTTGTATTTTTGGTTCCTGTTCTTAAGGCTTTCTCCTTTCATAACCTGTCTTCAGCCAGTTTAATTTACGCACATAACTTGACTTCACCAATACTGGCAATAGCCAAGTTTTCTGACTTCTTCCGGCTGCTTTCCTGCCAGTATAAATATATGGGAAACAGAGTTCCGTATTTCTCTACCTAAATTTCTGTTACCTAAATTTCTGTTGTCGTCTTAATGTCCTCCTAGATCACTGTCACTGTATGTAGGGTTGTGAGTTTACTCAGTTTCTTTCTTTTATGCCACTATTACATTTTATTATTACTGCTGTTATTAAAGTTTATATGTAACCAACAGAATCCATATTAGATGGGCAAATGTCAAGCTAGAAAGTATTTGCATTCACTGCTGTTTGGTAGGAAATTCCTAAATAAATGTTTGGGTATTTTTGCAAGATTTGGGAGAGGCTAAACTGTTTGAAATTTTTATCAAGGAGGTGCAGCTTGTGGATAATGTATTTTAAATTTCAGTTGTAAGATTGTCACTTACTGGGCAGAGAACATAAGCCACAGTCCTAGCCCTAAGGAAGTGAGTGGTGAAAGAAAAGGCTCTAATGCGTTGCCTTAGCTGTACAAAAATTAAAAAAAAAAAGTGGTAAAGTCTCCATCTTTGTCTTTGAGTCCAGACTGCGTGAGTTCCTGGAAATGTGTTTTACCCAAACACAGTCTTGTCTGGCTAAGCATAAAGAGACTTTGTTTTAAATCTCTGAATGTAGAAGAGGCTGTGGGAGACAAGGATTTGGGCAAAGTTGATGTTGCTTCCCTAAGCTTTTTTTAAATGGAAAGGTGCTAAAATTCTTGTCACCAGCTGTAGTACTAATGTTTCTGCAGTACTCCTTTTGAATCTCCTCCAAACTTTGATGCAAACATTTTGTTTGGTTGCATTAAGTATTCTAACTTACTGCTGCTAGGTTTCAAAAGGCTATATGCAATGTGTGCTGAAATTTAAGTTCTTGTCTGTTTTACAGCCATAGATCTAAATAACATTTCTCCAATTGGAAGACAGCTAACTTTGCAGCCTGGGAAAAGCAATGGTGGGTAAAAGGCAACATCTGAGATTGCAGGCTTTCTCTGAAGCAAAGTAAACAATTTTTATTGGCTATTTAATTTCAGAGAGGAATTTTTCTGTTACTGTTCCTGTAGAAATGTTTGGTTTTTTTTCTCATAGGAATTTAATTCTTATGCCTTTCATATTTTTCCCAAAGTAAAAACTGAAGTCCTCTGTAGACTGTAGAGTGCCTTTTCTCCAACTCAATGTATGCACTTTTTTTTTAAATTAAAGGTCACTTTTTAATGGGTAAATTAGTTTCAAGATACTTTTGATGTGTCGGATTGTTCTGTGTTAGAGAATCTTCGTTATTTTCTGTGCTAAATAAATAGCAGAAATCTTAAGACATCTTTTAAACTATTTCATTTTACATCAATAGTAGTGTTTTTCCCCAGGGTATTTTGATGATCTTTCCCCTATTTCCTTTAGAATCCTTCCATTCTTCAGAAACCTTTCTCCTCAATTAATACCTCTCAAGAGGCTTTTATCTTTTAACCCTTGGGTTTTTTACCTCTAGGCCTGAGTGTGATGCATGTGGTGTTGTCAAATCAGAATCTTAGCTTTAATTAATACTTTGCCTCATTGCAACTGTAACTTAAATAGCTCAATTGCAATGCAGTTTGGAAGTAGATTTTTGTTTCTCTAGTTTCAGTGAAAGGTCACTGCAAGCTAATTTTGTTGATTTTTTTATTCATTGCAGCTGCATGTCAAACAATCCTGTCTTTGCCAGTGGATTTTAATTTAGAGAAAATATTAGGTATGTCATCTAATATCTAAATTTAATTATGAATGTCCAAATAGAAAACATGGTTTTGTATTGTTTGGTTTTTTTGTAGAGAGGCAGAGGTTGGGCTGTTCTCTGTAGTGGTGAGTGATAGGATGAGGGGAAATGGATTTAAATTACGCCAGGGCACGTTCAAGTTGGATATTAGGAAGAATTTCCATACTGAAAGGGTTGTCAGGCATTGGAACAGGCTGCCCAGGGAGGAGGTTGAGTCACCGTCCCTGGAGGCGTTTAAGAGAAGGGTGGATGTTGTGTGGAAGGACATGGTTAGTGGTGTTGATAGAGCTAGGAAAAGGCTGGACTTAGTGATCTTGAAGGTGTCTTCCAGCCGAAGCGGTTGTATGTATGTATGTGTGATCTTGCCTAAAACCTAATTAGGAATGAAAATTTTAAGCATATGTTCTACATAAACAGTTATCCTGTGTTGCATGGGACATCCGACTTAAAGGATATGATTTGAGTGTAGACATAAAGATGACAGAGAAGGAATATGATGGACAATTGGAAATGGAAATGCATAAAAGATAGTAAGCAGAAGAATCCTCCTACCTCCCCCAGATAGAGCAGTTATTTAACTTTGCGAACCTTTTTGGCAGCTGGGTCGTGAAGCACGGAGCTCACTCTTGCCGTGAGCAAAGCTGTGCTGTAGTCCTGGGCTTGGAATTTAACTGAAGCTGTGGTGGTGACTAGAACTTGTGTGGTGTCAGAGTCATAGAATGTTTGGGGTTGGAAGGGATCTCTAGGGATCATCTAGTCCAACCCCCTTGCCAGAGCAGGGAATACAGAAAAAAGCTGTAGCTGATGAACAGGGGAGAAGAAAGCCCAAATTAACTGTCGGATCATAACTGCTGTGTCAAGCAGGGTAGTATAATAACCCCATTTTCACAACTCAGATGTGAAGGGTAGTTCTATTTTGGGAAAAAGCCAGTAAGTAGGTGCTAGCCAATATTAATTTATTTTTTTTTTAAATGCGGAATTTATTACTAATCCATGGTAGGTAGAAGTGGAACCCTAGCAGACAGAGGACAGAGTGGATTATTTTTAATGGTTACAAGTGATCCTTTGGGATAGGTGCCTAAGTTAGATGAATTACTTCTGTATTAGTAAATTCTATTAAATATTTTAATTTAGTTACATATATCTCTGTAGCGGAAGGCTTTTCTTTTCCCCCTTGCATTCTTATTTGAGATGGCTTCTCCCCCATGTTTCTAGGTGAATATTTTAGAGCTGATGAATTGGCAGATCAGTCTCAGGAAAATCTGAGCTCTTCGTCACTCAGAAGAAAGCTGTTTTTAGAAGAAAATGGAAGCGTGTCCGAGTGTTTGTCCCCTTCTCTGCACAGCCCTTGTGGCAGTCAGCCCCTTGGAGTGCTTTGTTCCATCGACATTTCTCCTGTCCGGTGCAGAAGCCCTCTGGAAACATCTGGTTCAGTAAGTAGCTGGTTTTTGGGAGCTGGGTAGGATGGGACTTACCCTGCACAAGAGTAGTTCATAGGACGGGCTGTGCTGATTCTGCATTCCAGCAGATGTGAGCAGCCATGCTTTCAAGAAGATGCAACAGCTTTACAAGAGAGTAGGTGTTAGACCAAATGGTTTTGGGGTTTGGTTTCGTTTTTCTTTCTTTTCAAAGGCCAAATTCAGGAAAAAAAATAGATGTGAACAAAAAAGGTCTTGAAAGAATATATTACTGACTTTATGTTGTATCAAATAATTGTGTCCTGCTTCTGTTGTTTTGTATAGAAAGAATTATGCTTTCATTTTATGTTATGGAAAGGAATTAGGAATTGATACATAGACAAGACTTGCTGAAAACATGTTGAAACTTTTTTTATATATAAAATGTGTATACAAAAAAAAGGCCTGCTTAAATCTACAAACTGCTTTTTTAAATGCTAGTTAATGTGAACCGGTTATGTAATTATTTCCTTTATAGGTAATAAACTCCTGTTTACAGAAACTTTGGATAATATTTATTTGCTTTTGTTACTGTTGTTTGTATTTGGACTTTTTGGTGTGTTGTTTTTTTTTTATTTAATTCCAGAGTTAAAATGCTAGCATCAATAGTACTTGTTTTAATAAGTTACTCTTAAGTCTGTTTTTAAACTCTCCTATTTTTAATATATATCAAAGTTGCTCAGGTTAAGGAATTCACGGTAAAATAGTCATGTAGCAGAGGAATAACCAATAAAACAGTTTCTTGAAATAATCTTGAAATAACTAGAAAATAGAAAGTACGACAGAATGTACTGTAGTGGAAGAAAATACTTGTGGATCTTTGAATGCAGTGTTAAATAATAGACATTTATTAGAATACAGAACATTTTTTTTTTCTTTTTTAAATTGAGGTAAACCGGCTAAAGTGGTTTAGGTGGTATGATTTGATTTCATCTGTTTGGTGGCTGAAGTGCATGAGAGAAAAAACTACCCCAGGAAGAGTATGGCTTAAAAAAAAAAAAAGTCTTCACTATGGTAACCCACTAAAGAATTTTGACAACATGATTATACAGCTAGAAGTGGCTTTTCATTTTGCACCATATTCTTAAGCACACTCACTATTCTCTTTTCTTAAGAAGAAGTATTTTTTCTGCTGCTGTGTTAAATAATCTGGGTAATATGTATATATATATGTATATAATAGTGGCTGGCTTTCACCTGCACTGGTATGAGTAAGAGATTGAGATTATGTACTTGACTGTATACATAGATTGAATTAATTCTCTGTTTAGGTTTCTCATAGTTCTTCAGTGTAACAGAGATTATAGTCTTAGTAGGTACTACGTGATGGTCCATTGCTGTGTTCCTTTGTGGAGGCATAAAGTCCAAATGAAGAGCTGCAGCTGGAATATTTAAGATAAACTAACAGGTTGTCATGGTACAGGATTAGTTTTCCTCAGTGTTGCCATATTAAGCTTTTTAGTTAGAACACTTTATATATATACTTATTAGTCAAAATTTATATTATGAAAAGATTTTTTTTAATTGTTTTTGTTTGTTTTTCATTGAAGGGTCAGTTTTCATCAAGTCCTATTCAGGGAGGAACAAGGGCTTATAGTTTGGGAAGTATCACCAGTCCCACATTTCCAGAGGGGTCTCCTGCACATAGTGGTTCTCCTAGTTTTTCACCAGTTGCTTTTCATATACGAAAGACACCACTGTCAGGTATGGCTTAATTGTATATGTATTATTCTTCCTTGATTTACCTATTTTTTATGAAAACTGCTGCATTCTTACTGGAACCTTTTTTTGTTTGGAGGCAAGTTACTGTGCTTGTCTTCAATGACACATTTCCTCTTCAGCAGTGAAAGATCCTAATGATGTGAAAAAGTGTATCTGCTTGCAACAAGTCAGCTAGGAGAGATATTTTTGGAAGAAGGAACTGGGACCTAATAGGAATGAAAAATAGGTCAAGGATTAATCTAGGGAGGAGGGCGCTGAAAGCCATGTGCTTGAGTGAAGTCAGGCTGTAATTCTGATTTGGCCCAAGCTGAAGCATTTTAGTTAGACAAAGAATGTTTATCTTGAGTTTTCCAATCATGTGATCATGAAGGTTATTGGAAGTGAAACTGACTGGTAAAGAAACCACAAACATTTTGCATCTTTGTCACTCTAGAAAATATGAGTGTTTCAGGTTTCATCTGTTAGCTTGTATGACTTGACACTGTGTTTATACATGTTTTTGCTCTGACAAGTCTTGTGGTATTTCGACACTGTTGTATGTGGAGATTGCACAGGTGTCTTCTAGCTTCTTTGATTTTCTTGAAAACTTGTTTGCTATCTCAAATGTTTTCAAATGCCTGTAAAATACGTGTTTATTGATATTTGTTCTGAAGAAAGCCACAGACCCAGCCTTAACACGTTTTCCCTTGAACACTGTTTAGTATTGACATTTGAATATGCGAGGCCTCCAGTATCGCAAACCATGTCATAAGAAACAAATTTCTTGGCAAAAATGGGATGAAAACTTTCCTTTACTATGAAGGTCTAAATGTGCTGGTGGTTTGTTGGGTGGGTTGGTTGGCTTGTTGTTGGTTTTGCTTGTATTTTTAAGAAGGCTCTGGAGCTGGGAGACAATAGTCAGTGAAATATGTAGTTGGTTATACTTATTCAGAGGACTGTAGGCTTTGAGGATGGTGAGTTTTAACTCCACATGATACCTGACAGAATAACTTTGTTTTTTTTACAGACCAAAGAAAATTTACATTTTGCTCTCCAGATATCCCTTCTTCCTCAAATAGAATGACACCTCCAAGTACAAGAAGTCCTTATATAGATGGTTGTTCTCCAATTAAAAATTGTTCTCCTATGAGGCTTGGAACATGTAGAGGAGCTGCTCAGTATCAGACTTCAGTCATTAGAATACCAATTGCAGTTGAGAACCATGGTGAGGATGAGGAAGACAAGGTGAATGCTTCTCCAGCGGAAGCGCGGTTCGCAGAGCTGGATAACGGAATAAACTTACGTCAGCAAGACAGCGACGCTTTTGCGCGTGGTACCCATCTTGTGGTAGCGACTGTGTCCATTGCATCCGATCACTCGGAAGCTTGTCGTCCAAGGTTGACGTCATTTCAGGATATAGAAGGCTCAAAGGAAAATAACACGGTAGATATGGCTGATGCAGCTGAAGTGTCAGAGGAAAACACGTGGATAAAAGAAACGATTGGCAATAGCAGCGCACCAGTGACCAGCTTCATGACGGGGATTACTTTCAGCATTGAAAACTCTCGCATGTGCATGTCGCCGCTTGCAGAGAGCAGCGCAATTCCTTGTGACAACAGTAGTATTCAGGTAAAAAATAAAAATCTGCTTTTGCTTCTTTGTGAAACTTAACATACTACCTTTCAATATGGGTACCATGCTGGGAGTAATTGTCTATTTCCTCTTTTTAGATGTGGCATGCAGGTGGTATTGTGCATTCCCTTTTTTCCTCTCTTGGTGGAGCTAGTGTAGTAATTACAATAACACATTTTAACTTAATCCTACCATATGAGGAAAGGCTGAGAGAGCTCGGTCTGTTTAGCCTGGAGCAGAGGCAGCTGAGAGGGGGTCTCATCAATGCTTATAAATATCTAAAGGGTGGGTGTCAGGAAGATGGGGCCAGACTCTTCTCAGTGGTGTCCAGTGAAAGGACATGGGGCAGTGGTCACAAACTGGAAAACAAGAAGTTCAACCTAAACATCAGGAAATACTTTACTGTGGGGGTGACAGAGCACTGGCACAGGCTGCACAGAGAGATTGTGGAGTCTCCTTCTCTGGAGACTTTCAAAACCTGCCTGGATGTGTTCCTGTGTGATCTGCTCGAGGTGATCCTGCTCTGGTGGGGAAGCAGGACTTCAGTGATCCTCAGGGGTCCCTTCCAAGCCCTGACATTCTGTGATTCTGTTATTTTGGCAAGCCTGTTTACAATTCGCTTTTATTATTAACTGATGGTAGTTGGTTTGTTGTATTAAGTTCTGTTAATCAAATGCAAGTCATAATGTCAGAAACTCGGGGGTTTACTGGTGTGAAATTGCAGTATGTTTTTCAAGCCCGGCTTCTTGATTTCAGGTGGACAGTGGTTATAATACCCAGACTTGTGGAAGCAGCATTATGGATACCGCAGGGGCTGAAAACAGTTGCAGAGAAAATGATGTGAATACTAACGTGTTTCCAAGTAAATCTCAGCTGCTTAGAACAAAGGTAGGAGTTAAATTGCGGTACAGAAATGATGGGCTTCCCGTCAAAAGCATCTGTTGCCTCTTTTATTCAGTTTCAGGGAACCTGAGTGGAGAGACTGTCAGGTGACAATAGAGACATGTTAATGTAGTGTCATTTCAAGTATTACGTTGAAAACAAGGAGTAAATGTGGGACAAATATTACAAGCTGACAATAAAATTACCTGTTCGTTCTATGACAAAGGCAGAGGTAGTTTCAGAGGAAACAGGGGGTTGTGAAGCTGTTCCTGGCTTCTGTTGTGCTGTCGTCTGTCTCTGGTTTTGTGGTTCCTGCTGCTTTTTTTTTATTGCCCAGTCTGTAAATATGTGCCTGTGGGTAAGCATGTTTTGGGGAAGAAATGTTTTTCATAATCTAGTCTTGAGTTTCCTAGACCATACCTGGTGTGCTGGCTTGGCAGGGAACTGTTGATTACAAGCCCTTTGATGACCTATCTTAAAACCAAAAGAAACTAGAAAAGCCAATACACATCTCGCAAGACTCTCAAGCTCTTCCAGAGAAGGGGAAGCAAGGCTAGTTTCTTCGGAGGAGAGAGCAAAGATCATCTCCTCTCACTTAGTAATTTTGGCCTTACAGTCTTACAAACTTAGTAGCTTATGGTCTACTACTTAGCATTGTTTACAGTCCTGGAAGGGGTGGCATTACTCACCAGTAGTTCCAGATGATAAAAAAGCTCAAGGAAGCCCCTTTCGCCCTGACTTGTATATCTGACCTGCTAATAGCCACTTCTCTGCTGAGGTGAAGAGATTGATGGTGTCTTATAGGCCGTTGACACCAAATTTTGAACTCATTTTGCTCACTTAAGGTGAGGATAACTGTATCCTTCCAGGAAGACTAGGTGGATATTTTATCTTTAGCTTCTCTAAATACCTGTCTACTCTGAGGTCTTGCCCTGGTCGCCCTGCTGGATGTGGATTTCTGTGGGAATGAATGAATCAATTGTCTGGGGTCAAACCTGTCCTAGAAACTCGCCAGTGTCATGCAGCTGTCTGCTCCTGCTTCTAGACTTTCAATTGCTAGACCCTGATAAGACAAACTTTCATTTTGGACTAGGATTTAAGTGTGGAGGCATTAAGTACTTCACTCGACTCTCACAACAGAGAACCCCCCCAGAGAGTGGAAAGCAAAAACCATGGGCATCACTGGCTCGTAAAATCGAGCCTGGCTCATTCTGAGCACGTGTTCTCCGAAAGGAGGTTCTTGCTGACAGCATGTCTCAAACATTTGCACAGAGAAAAAAATTATCTTTCATTTATTTTTCATGTCAGAATGGGAGAGATAGGAGGCTGAGGTGATAGTTTTCAGATAGCAAGCTTGAATTTTTTTTTTTGTGAAAATGGTCTTAAAATTAACTTTTCCTTATTAACCTAGGAGTGTTCCATTTTAAACCATAAGGAAAATCAGTTGCTGAGAGCAAAATCTCCAGAGAAGCAATCCTGTTTCCAAAAAATAAAAACACATAGTACAGTATTTGGTCAAAATGCAACTTGCAACATTTCTGCCTGGAAACAAAAATGAAGCTCAAGTTCAGGAATTTCAGAGGAATGGTATGTATGTAGTTTTCTGCTGGAGAACTTAAGCTGTGTTGTCTAATAAATTTTTTATATATGACCTCAGTTACCTGGATTATATACTTGTTTAATGCAATTGTAATAAATAGTCTGTATATATTAAGGAAGTTGTTAAATAATGTTGGGTTTTTTTCAGGTCATATTAACAAATTTACTGGTACCATTTAAGTGATCCTCTTGAAAATTAAGACAGCTAGATTTTGTACAAACAAACCATAGTGTGGTGGTGTGGTTTTTTTTTCCCCCAAACTGTGTTTCTTCTGTGATTAGGGTAAGTTCTGAGAGGAGCTTTGTTTTGAAAGTTTGGACATAAC